ATAAAAAAGAAATTGCCAATGTACGGTTAAAATCATGTAGAATGTTTTTTCATATTTCCCCCTGTGCGTCTGTGCACTCTAATTTTAAAATATCGCATTTACCGAATTTCAGTTTGCTGTTCCTTTCGTTAGGTTTAGGGCTCATGCTACATTCCCATTTATTCGCATTAATTAGGCGAAAATACAAACATTTTATTTTTACATTTTTTTGTTAAAATGAGGAGTTATAGACATATTAATAACGCTCAACATTGGTTAAAAATGGTTGTAACTCAACAAGGAGGCATTTTAGAGAAAAAAGTGTAGGAATAAAACATTTTTATTTTTACCCTATTAACACGTCTCTATTTTATTTTAAAATCATAACAATTTTAACAAAAAATCGATATTTCCACTGATCCCACTGAGAACACCATGTATATGGGTACATTATATTGAACTATACAAAATTGTTCACTTAAGTAAAAGTCTTCAACACAACAAAATTAGTTTAATTTAATATTAAAATTTTAACTAAACTGCTAAAATTGGAATATTCCTATAAATACGAAAAAAATGTATCCCTGATTGAATTTTTATATTTCAAGTATATTATTAAGTTTTGCTCTTACGTATTACTGCAAAACTAATATCTGGTTCACTTTCACAATTTGAAAGCAAAATTAAATTTTTATGTTAATTTGGTAGAATCTTATCTTGATTTGGGTGGAATTAAATGAAATATATTTATTAAGATTTTATAAAATTGAGTATGTTTGAAATTCAAAAGTAGCCGAAAAACCCTTTTAATAAACAACGAACTTCTTTACAAAAGATAAGAACAAAAGTATGCAGCAAACTGCTGGTAAAACTGATTAGTCTCAGTAGTAATTTTTGCAACCGTTTACATAAAAAAACTCTTCTACGCATCAGTAAATATATTTTGTCAACGAACCCAACCTAAAATTGTTTTATGATAAATTCTCTGTATTGTCTAAATTGTATTTTAAGGAGCGTGAAGCACTCAACATGTAGGTATTGTGGACAAAACATTAGATATCCCAAATTCATTGAAAGTAAATTTTTCAAGGACTGTCTGAGCCCGTTTCCACTTTTTCTGAATGCTCTGAAAAAGTCCATTAACTTTCTCCAAAACAATATTACATATTACTCAAGCTTAAAACTGTAACAAGAGCTGTAAAGTGACTGTAACGTTTCGTAAATATTAGCTTGTTATGCTGCAAAAGTAATTATTTGCTTAAAATTTGCGTATACTTAAGAAACAATTAAGAAAAAGTTATTTGCTGACTGTTTTGTTCTCCGAACATGTAAACACAACGCCTTAAAGTAAACAGTACCTACCATTCTCTTAAAAAAAACATTATTGACTTCGTACCATGTACGTATCTTTAATGCATAAAATGAGTCTCCTTTTATAGACACTTCGTAGATGCTGTTGTAATACAATGGATTATTATTATGTATATTGTGTAATTGAAGAAATAATGAAGTTAAATTGCAAAAAAATATATGTTTTTTAAAAACATCAATACAATTTTCACTATTGTTTGCGTATCCAAAATTTCACACTGGAAACTAATAAACAAAACAAAAATAAAAATACTAAGACACGCAGTTCAGTTAAATTAAGTTTCTATAAATAATATTATTAATTTTTAAGTTAGGCGCGACGTTCCTTTTTCAAGTATGTTTATTTATATACTGTCTTAATATCTGAGTATAGAAAGTCCGCTGTCGCTTTTCGTGTCTATACAAAAGAGGTAATAATAAAGAGGGATTTAAAAATGTTTATTTTTTCCTTGATCGAAACGAAAAAAGACAAGTTGTTTGTCATCATTTTCCGTAATTTTGCCCTAATTGGAACGACTTTATATCTCCACAGAGATTCCCATGGTGCGACACGAAAATAGTCACTCTGAGAAACAAAAATGTTTTTTCAAGTTCAAATGTTTCTTTGGATATTTGAAAATTATTAATATGCTAAAGCGTTGTACCAAACATAAATTAATATTCCATAAAAAAATCCAATTTACCTAATATTATTTTAACAATAACACCCATAATTCAATTTTACGCTTTTTTCTTCGGAATACTTTCCATAAATTTTAGGTGTGTACTAACATAGTGCAGCAAACTTCCAAGAACCAAGAACTTGAACCAAGACCACAATTTATTTAATAGAATTAATTGTTTACACAATGAATATTACCATATAGTTAACAGATAATATAATCTAATTGATTTTACAATTACTTTTTACAAAACTGACAAATCTAACAAGCAATCAGTAATCTTTTCACGCTTTTCAAAATTCAAAGCAATGCGTAAACGGTTTTAATTTTTCTCTAGTTTTTTCTGGGTAAGTGGTATTGAAACTCAAAGGACAATAGACAAGAATTTCATGCTTGTTTTTTATTTCTTTCACTATTGTCTTTTTATCAGAGAATCAAATTATTTAATTGCTGTGTCAATTGTAAAAATCAGTGTTAACTGATTAACAAATAGCTATAGATTTTTCCAAATTCGAAAATTAGTTTTTGTTGAGGGTATTTCTGTTTTTGTTATCAAAACAAATAAAACAAATTGTTTATTCAATTTTTTTTTAGAAATGATGAAATTTACTTGTTTTAAACCGTTTAAATGTTTAAAAAACATTTTAACTAGTTTGTACAAGAAACTGTTTACACATAAATTATTGGGTTTGTTTATATCCTATATTCATAGTTAATTTCCGCAATTTCATATTAATGATATTTAACATTTAACAAGGTATATTGTTCCTGCTATAAATAATGTCTGCTATTGTTTCAAGTAAAAGTTATGCAAACGATGAATCAAATCTAATTACTTCACTAGTTGTCACACTCATTTTTGGCGACACGAATTGCTTGCTTCTAAATTACAATTTTATGCAGCACCGTGAGAAAAGCAGCTTTTTCTACCACTTTCACGTTTACAGCTTTTTATACTTACAAATTTAATGTTCTGAAGTTAGTGAAGAGTTTGTATTCTTTCAAAAACATCATCAATTATATCTTTACGATTCTTGAAATAATTTTTAATCTACCTATGATATATAGACCGACCGAAATAACTCATTTAGAGGGGAAAAAAAAGAAAATTGTTACCTGAACTTTTATAAGTGGAAATGGTAAAGGGGCTTATAACAAACCAAAAAGAAATAAATGCGTGAGCAGTGGTGACGGAGGGTTGATTTGGGGGTTTGAAAAGTTGTGAAAAATTGTATCATTGAGATTTCTGGCGAAAGTTGACGTCAAACAAAAACGTATCCAATACAAAAGTTGTAAATCATGCAAAAATCTACAACTTTTGCAGAGGTCACTATTTAAGATAATCTCAAAATTCCCGAGAAAAATGAGAAAAACTGTTTTTTTTTCTGATTTTTCGTTTTTTATTTCTCATTTCCGCAAAAATAATTTAATTTTGACGAAACTTGGTGAAAGTATACCTTTCTGTGTCTTAAATAACTGCAAATTTTTTTAAATAAAAAAAATCATGAAGTTTCCGAGATATTCATTTCTTCCTGCCCGAAACACTTTTTTTCAAAGTAAAATTCTACTTAGAAAAATCATCGTACAGAGTTCTGCCGGTGATCATTTTTTTCTTTTTGACATACTTTTTGGTGGAATAAAAAAATCTGTAATCACAGTTCAAAAACATGCTCAAAAATGCAAAAATTCAGGATTAAAAATGACTAGATTTTGTCATAAAAATAGCAGCGACGTATTTAAAAAAATTAACCTGATGATGACCCCTCGAAGACGAAACGTCAGATTGCAAAAATGTTGACACCATTGGATAGAGCGAAATAAGTGGCAATGTAAATATGCAATTTATTTTAAAATTCGTTTTCAAATAAAGCCAGAAAAAAATTAAACGGTTTTGTATAATTTCGTTTTTTTGGATTGGATATTGCGTCAACACTAGACTTTGCAGTTGATACTTTGTATTGCAGAAATCTCAAATCATCCAGAGATAATTTATCATTCAAATATCATTAAAAATAAAATTCTGGGTCAAACAATGAGACACAATTTTTTGTATTTTTTTCTGTAGAATTGAATGGTGTAATCAGTTTTTATTTTTTTTAATTTAAACGAATTATAAACAATTACTGAAAAATTTATTGTTGCAAGTCATTTTTAATTTTTTTTTGCATTTTTGAGCATGTTTTTGAACTGAGATTACAGATTTTTTATTTCACCAAAATGTATAAATGTCAAAACGAATAAATGATCACCAGCAGAACTCTGTTCGATGATTTTTCTAAGTAGAAGAAGAAGAAAAAAGTGTTTCAGACCGGAAAAAATTAATATTTCGGAAACTTTTTTTTGTATTTTTAAAATTTGCGATTATTTAAGACACAGAAAGGTATACTTTCACCAAGTTTCATCAAAATTAAATTATTTTTGCGGAAATGAAAAATAAAAAACGAAAAATCAGAAAAAACCGTTTTTCTCATTTTTCTCGGGAATTTTGAGGTTATCTTAAATAGTGACGTCTACAAAAGTTATATATTTTTGCATGACCTACAACTTTTGTAGTAGATGCTATTTTGTTTGACGTCAATTTTTGCCAGAAATTCCAATGATACAATTTTTCACAACTTTTCAACCCCCCAAATCAATCCTCTGCCACCCCTGCTCACGCAATTATTGTTTTTAGGTTTATTATAAGCCACTTTTACCATTTCCACTTATAAAAGTCCAGGTAACATTTTTCTCCAAGTGTAATTTGGTTGGACTAATAGAGGTATTTTAAGATTTTGGTAATTTAGGTACATTACAAAGTTTATTTTAAGATTTTGCATATTAAGATTTTATACAATATATCAAGAGGCAGATATTTAAAAAAAACAAACAAGTTACAATTTTTTTCGATAAAAATTTGTGTAGCCAACTGGTGTCATTTAAGATACTTTAAAATATTTTTTACCTTCTCATAGAAACTTCTTGACAATTGTTACATATATAATAAAAATGACTAGTATGTTTTCTGCCCATTTCAATAGAATTGATATCTATTTAACGTGACAGATGATTATGAGTTACGTATGTGATATGTATTTTTACAGATTGTATAAATGTAATGTTTTATATTTTTATTAAAACAATTAGTTTTTATGTGGTCATAAGGATTGCAAATATTTTGCTGAAAAAACTTTATAAAATTATTTCCATAAGTATAAGCAAAAATATTGTCATTTTGTTCTATCTTTAACATGTTACTTATATATAATTTTTCAACTTCGACATACGTCAGTTAATTCTGACTTATGAGACATAAACGCCATACACCTTTTTGTGTCAATGAAGAGAACAAAGCAACAATTAATACAAAACAAACTATTGTCGTCTATGTTTGCCAAAAAAATATAGACAGGCAGTAATTAGCTCAGTGTTAAACAAATCGAATTAAAAAATAATGGTTATATGTAAATAGGTACAAAATATGACAATTTCCTAGAATCCGGTAAGTTTGAATCTTCTAATAAAGACAAGACAAACTATTTATATATTTTTTGATTTTTGAATTTTTTGTTGAGAATTATTTCTCGTATATTTTCGTGTAACATATTTTGCAAATAATTTTTGAAAATTGTTTGAGGACGCAAGAGATTTTTCTGGGATAAATTCGAATATTTTAAGATAGCTGTTTCGGTTTGTCTACTTTGGCTGGGCAAAATGTAAATCCAAACATTTCTATTCGACTAGCATCAAATTTTTATGAAAAGCAAAATTTATCTGTCTAACATATCATATACATCTAGATTTGTGGTGTTTTAATGGTATTTTAATAATTTTAAAAGGTCTTCTGTGACAGATAAGTGTTTAGTGTTGTGGTTTTTGCGTCTGTAAGTAAAGACTAGTAATATAAGGTATAATAAGTTTTCCCACACATTCTCCACTGATTTCACGTGTTTTTATTGCAATCTTTATCTATTTTCTCCTTTTTAGATGGAGTCATTTGGTCCATAAAGCACTTTTAGCACGCTTTTCACTGCACACACAACTAACATAAAACCCAATACACAGATAGAAATCTCTGTCGGCCAGAATTTAACACTTCTTATGCGATTTTTTATGGACATTTTTATACGCCGTATTCTCGATCTAGGCGTGCTCCGTGTTAACCTTGCTCTTCAAATTATTGCCGAAATCTGCGCTTTACAGCGTGGAACCGCTCAGAGCGTAAGCGCTAGAGGAATAGTTCTCGGGCATTGTAGTAAGATAACACTCCGGAATGGTCTTATGACCTAGAGAGAAAATATTCTTTGGGTTGGAGCGCCGCGCAAGAGCTTCGTAGAAGGCGTACGCTGTTCAGTCGACCAGCAGACCTCAGTTCGTCCACTTCTCCTTCTTCATTGGTGTTCTTCCCCTCGTTCTCCTTACCGGTGAGTACTTATCCTTTTAGCTGGTGACCCTTTGACCTCCGCTTTCTACCACCCTCGCTACCGCTTGTTCTCTTTTAATCGGTGACAAAGACGCCGCGGTGATTGTACTCCTTAGAAAGTGTTGGCGATAACGCTGATGGTCTATTACGCGGAAGATGCTCGGAGATATCGATAGTCGGTCAGACGAGGAACTCTGTTCCTGTACTCGTAAACAAGTAGTTTCACTATGTAAATAAGAAGTGTTAATTGTTACGCAGGAAGTACCATTAATCAGTGATGTTTCGCAGATTCGATGAAGGAATTGTGATTTTAGAATTTTAATGAAGAATATATTAAAAAAAAAATATTTTTCAGACCTTAGATTTTTTTTCAATATTTGATATTAATTTAAATTTTAGAAAAAGTAATTCTGAAAATGTCTATATTTTTGAGTGATAAAAAATTAACATAATTTTAAAATTTATGAATGGAAAAACATTTCTCAATTCTAAAAATGTTTACTAATTAAAAGTAGTTACTAAAAAGTATTTCAAAATAAATTGTTAAGCAAAAATATTACGATAATTAAGAAAAAAAAAATCGAAAATAAAATTTTCCCCTGGAAAACAAAAATTAATTTTTCTTGGTTTTGACAGCAAAACAAAACTTCACTTTTTTTATTGTGCACTTCCTAATTGTGATTTTTTTATTAACTTTGTTAGTTTTTGGTAATATACCGCTGACATAATATAAAATGAAATAGGAAATAACCAAATTTTCGGTACACATATTTACAAATTTGGATTTTGACGTCTATCTTTAAACTATACTGTGCAGTGTCAAGTGTTACGGAAAAAAGTGCATTTTTTTTTAAATAATATATGTATTTTTCAATTTCTTTTTTAATTAAGCCTTTTGCTTCAAACTTGATAATTTCTTGTTGGCAAAAATCTGAGATATAAAAAATATGAATGAGTTGTGAGACACCAAATTACTTGACTGGCTTTTGTTGACAAAATAATTATTAACCATAACTTTTTCGTTTGTGAAATTTAAAAAAGTAAATATACAGGCTGTTACAAATTCGCTTCTCACTACAATGATCTCGGAAACGGTAAGAGATACGAAGTAGCTTAAATGGGGGCAAAGTTACGTAATCAGGGAACCAACATTATGCCTCTAAAAAATCAAGGCTAACATGATTAGTTTTCGAAATATTTGAAAAAAAAACGAAATTTTGGAAATCCGTTTTTTGTTTAATTTCAGCCTTATTTGAGGTGATATTGAAAAAGAAAGAACACTTTCTCATGGCTACTTTTTGCCCTCTATCGAATGGCATAATCAATTTTTATATGTAACATTTCGCTTCTCCAGGACCATCATCAATTTAATTTTTTTTAAATACGACCCTGGAACCCAGCTCGAACCAGATTCAGACGTTTAGACGAAAATTCATCTTCAGTTTCTTTGTTTATTGAATTATCGTACACTGTAAGTATCGTTAGACCCTGTGAAATCCATCTAGTTATTTAAACTATTACCACCACGCATTAAAATAATATCACTAATAGTGTTTTATTCCCGTGTCCATAGTTATTTCTAGGCTTCTCGAGTGGTCAAAATTCAAACAAATTCCGATCTATTTTTTTCAGGATATTCATACAAATACATCTGACATGCTCTTTCACAGTTGCGATTACAGATATAATAAATTCCGATAATATTACGTTGATCTTCATTTTTAACCTGTGCCAAAACGAAAATATTTTTGAACATTTACTGAAGTATTTTAAAGAATAATATTCAGTTGGCGTTTTGGTTGTTCATATGTATTTTAAAAAATTAATTTGTCATAATAAAATTAAAATTGTAATAATGTTTTAATTTTGACGCAACAATTTATCGAGTTATGGATGACCAAGTGATGGTAATAGTTAATAATAAATGTTTTATTGTAATGCATGGTGGTAATAGTTTAAATAATTAGATGGATTTCACAGGGTCTAACGACACACAGTGTACGATAATTCAATAAATAAAGAAATCTAAATAAAAAATTTAGATAAATTTGGAACGAATACACTGAAGATGAATTTTTCGAGACAAAACGTTTGAATCTGGTTTGGGCTGAGGCAGTATAGTATTGAGGGTCATGAAGACTTACAAAAAATGAGAATACAATTTCTAGGGCCGTATTTAAAAAAATGAAATTGATGATGGTTCTGGAGAGACGAAACGTTACATATAAAAGTTGATTATGCCATTCGATAGAGGGCAAAAAGTGGCCATGAGAAAGTGTTCTTCTTTTTTCAATATCACCTCAAATAAGTCTGAAATTAAACAAAAACGGATTTCCAAAATTTCGTTTTTTTTTTCAAATATTTCGAAAACTAATCATGTTAGCCTTGATTTTTTAGAGGCATAATATTGGTCCCCTGATTACGCAACTTTGCCCCCATTTAAGATACTTCATACCTCCTACCGTTTCCGAGAGCCCTGTAGTGAGAAGCAAATTTGTAACAGCCATTATAGGTGCACTTATTATTGGTAACAAACTGTATGAAAAAAACTTTAATGTTAAAGCTCTAAAAAGTTTAAATGACTCCTATGTACTGACTATGACTTTTTTGTTTTTGTAATTTTATAAAAATAAACAATTTGATATTAAACATTTTCATAATGTGTCGACAACGTCGTCCATCTTCGACAAAAAAACGTTCTTTAATTTGTAATGAAAAAGAAAGTTCAAATGTACCTACTTTGCAATTTGATTGAAAATGCCACATTATGTTATACAATGGTAAATATTAAAAACTTTTAAGTGATATTTAATTGCATTAATTAATTAATAATTTTTTTATTACTAATTTTTTGAAAAAACTGCATAAAAACCAGTTTGAATAAATTTTCTGGAGGTTAAGCAGGACTCTTCATACCCCTTAGGGTATTGCAACTTTCTTTTGTACATGCTGTTTCTTATCAATATTAAGTAAACCAAATTAAAAAAAGAATTAAGAAAAGTCAGTACTAAAAAAACACAACTTTGAGGTTATGTAACTCATTAATATTTAATTTTTCAAAAAGTGTCGTAGAGAGTTATGCCATTATACTTTATAATTATCTTTTTTGTATTCATTTCTGGTACACCCTGTACAACATTGACCGTGATGGAGGCTCATCACAATTTTTTCAACTGACTTTTATTTGAATGTCAAGTGGAAGCTCCTGACTCGTTGACTTAGTAGTGCTTCATAGAAAGTTGTTAGTGTAGTTCGCGAAGACATCGGGGAGAGATTTATAAGAGCGGTCATATTTTAAGCAAACTTATATAACAGATTAGAAACAAAAAGATAGTGAGCATATTTGGTTTCACTTTTCTTAGAACCAGTATTAAATTCGTTTTTGCAATCGCTCTAGTTGTTTACCGCTTGTGACAGCAGCAGTTATACTTCGCGAAATATTTTAAATTTTTGTAAAAATACGTTTGTTCCAAAATTTTCGTTGCAAGTGTCTGGAAAAAAAAATATCCGAAAAAATACTATTTGGGAAAAGAAAATGGTTTTTTCATCATCGTCTTTTTTGTGTTAAAAGTAGTTGAATTTGTTTGAACTGTGGTACTTCTACTTCCTTAGAAGTTCGTTACACGCTTTGTTGAACAGTTATTGACATTTAATTATCAAGAGCATTTATAACGAGCCATGTCTTTACTGCAATTAATTAACCAGCTAACAGTAATGTAAATTCCCGACACTGAACTGAATAATATTTCCAATGTGAAGGCATTTTTTATGAATATTGATCGAACATGTTATTTCCACAATCTCTGGTACATAAACCACTGCATTTCTTTATCCATATCTCCGACTTATCTAAACATTCGTTGTTATAAAGTAGATATTTATACTAATTCTACTCAGCATCACAGCAGGCGAATAAAAACTGTCGACATCTATATTTAACCATGCAGTAATAATTGTAATTAAGACTAACATTGACCAGGCGGATACATTTTTGTCTGTGTTCATCTGTGATGTCGCAAGTTGTTTTGCAACAAAGTTATTGTTCTATTCTATGAATTATTTTAAGCTTGAGAACATATATGTGGGTTTGCATGTATTTTAATTACTGCGTCGTTGATGATTCGGAATTATTCATAGAAGAGTTTGTGAAGAGAATACGCGTTAAGACAGACAAAACCCATATTCCCTTGGATTATGGATTAAGAAAAATAAACATATGTTATGTTATTCATTCTGTAATATACAAAAAATATCTATAAATAAACACAGTTGTAGTGATAAATTGTAGAGAATATACTGGGTGTTTATGAAATATGAAACTATAATGAAACAGGAAATAGAAAACGCTACTTTAAGAACAAGTTTCCTATGAACATTGAACATGGATTCAGATTTAGATAGAGGCTCTTCAGATTATACATAGACTGCAACAATTTGGTAGAAAACAATTTTTTGTGCCTCAGGCACAGTGGCTGAGGTTTCTTTGAGAGGAATGAATAATTATTAAATGATTGATGACAATTCTTTGATATAAAGTAAACCTTTTTCTTTATACTGGATTATTTACCTCATATTTTGCAAATTTTCAATATATATGTATATATATATATAGTTCTGATAAAAAGAAAATAATCCCAAAATTGTATTCGTCATTCATGATACCAATCAATTTATGCATAATGACATTATTAAAATAGAAACCGTAGACAATATGAAAATTACTATACGTCAATATATCAAACAGCATATTCCGAGAATCTATTAAAATTAATATCAGTGCTGGAGTTATATTTTATTTTAATGTATGATCTTTTAGGCATTTTGCGAAGAAAAGATGAATGAACAAACTAGTTTTATTAACTCAGCAAGAAATATTGTGATGCATGGGAATAACTTCAAATCGACAGTGGAATATCCCCTTTTAATTTTTCAGTTTAGTAACGTGTAGTGCATATCAGCTAAAGTGAAATATGTCCGGGTATCATACCTGTCGCTCACGTA